TCCAAACGTTGGAGTCGTTGGAGGCCGTGGAGCAATCGTTGCGTGAACGCCGCGAAGGAGAAGCGGCGCGGAAGGTTGACGAGGTGGAGCGGGCTACACAAGAGGAGCAGGGAGTGGGCCGTTGTGGTATATCAAATGCAGGGGAAACGAGGGAAAGGTTGCTGGTGGAATCATCGCATGGGACTCGACATCAAAATCGACCACTTGCTCCATCGGAGGATCTCCTCGACGAAGCACAATGATACGGCGGCGCACCGTGCACACTTGGACTCCAATGGCGACTTGAACAGTCGTTTGAGGGCCAAGCCAGCGATGCAACTTTGCCACGAGAGCATCCCACGAGCCATTCAAGTAGCAAATTTCAATGACGACATTCGGAAACGTGTTGGCCGACAGCCTGCCGCTCATCGTGCGATCTGCGCGCTGAGGTCTATCTCCCACGTCATGCGTTTGGGATGGCCGATCCTTCAGTGTGTGGACCATGCGAACACCTCCAATATTTAGCACTTGCTCCAGAATCATGCTGTACAAACACCCCCCTGCTTCTGCGTGTACAGCAGTCGTCAAACTGTCGATTTCAATGCGACCAAAATGGGCATCCAACGGAACGTACTCCCACCGTCCAAGATCGCCTTCGTGTTTGTCTTCCCACTTTCGAAACGCGTCTTTTGAAATCGACTCACAAACCACAACGGGAGAACTCACGTCGTCTTCCTCGCCATCCTCTGGGCACGTCGCACTCAGCAGTCGGTCGACGTGTGCATCGTAGCGAATTTTCAGTTGCTTCATTGCACTGGCCACCATCATGCGCTGCGTACGAGGCTTGATTGCAGGATGAGACATAGCGACAGCACAGATGGGGGATGTTGTCCGGGGGACGCTGAAGACTTCCAGGAAGAGGCACGCGCCGCGACTTGTTCTTTCCTGCACTTGCCAGCATTGAGAGAAGATTTGAATTGTGCGCGGGGAAACAAGATCCGGATAAATGGTGTTTTATCTGGAATACTTGTCTTACGATGTTCTCCACCGACAGCTCCGCCGACGGCGCATCGACCGACGCTGGTTTAGTTTGGACGAGTGCATGGCTTGTGTCATAACTACGGTCAATCCGAGCCAGGCAAGTCCGAAGAAGGCCCCTGTGACGCGGCCTAACGCTTCGTCGTCCACCAACAACACGGATATGGTCGGCCCAACTTTCCCCAAATGCTGAGCAGAATTGACTGCGCCGACGCAGCAGACATTACCTGTGGCACCACCGTTGTAACAGTTCTAGGGCACTGTTATCCATACACAAGTCAAAGATCTTCCTTGACATTGAAGATCTCCATCCAAAGGTTGCAGGCGACCTCACAACAAGTCGCCTTAACTTTCCATGTTGATGTAGCAGAGCTAGTAGCATAACCCTGCCAATTCATTCTTCATTTTACCTACTCCTTCTTCTGCGTGTGCCCGGCTACACCTGGTAGCACTGCAAGTTCGTTCAAGGACCATGACAGCTTCCCATCAAGCGGTATACGATCGCGTGGTCGACATCCAGTCGCTCTTGTCCCCCCTCTCCGTCGATGCCCGAGTGCGACTGCTTGAGAGCATCGGTTTCACCCTCAACGCAACGACACAACCCCTCGAAGGTCGCATCAGCCAGCTGACCGAGGAAGGCCGAGCCCTCGAAGAATCGCTCCACCAGAGCGAGGGACAAGCCAAAAAAATGCGCGAACATGGTGTCGCCCTGCACGCCGAGGTCGCAAACTTTGCGACCGAAGTTCGACACTGGAATCTTCTATGTCCCAGCTGCGCCAGTCTCTTCAGGACGCACAGGCACAGACTCTCCGCGTGTACCAAGAGGCTGCGAGTGCAAGCAGCCAGCCCCAACAATCCCCCATACGGGTGTCAAGCCAGTGAAGCTTGACGTCACCAAGTTTGCTCCGACGCCGGCAAGCTCCTCCGGTGGATCCTACAAGTCGAGACCGCGGCCGATGCGCTGTGCATCACCCGCGAGTCTACACGTGTGTCCTTTGCCCTATCTCATCTCAAGGGTCAGGCGGAAGACTGGGCGTACTCCATCCGCCTGACCAACCCCACGTCATTCGCAACGTTTGACGAGCTCGTTGCGGCGATGAAGCTCCGCTTCCTTCCCCAACATAGCGATTTCCAATATCACTCTAAGTTTCTCGCATGCAAGCAAGGCAAACTCTCCTTGCAAGACTACATTCACGACCTTTGCTTTTTGGCCGCGAATGTCAACGACGACTCCACGCTACCGAATGAGCTTCGCGTCAATGTCTTCATGGCCGGACTCAACCACGATCCGGCACGTACACAGATCTTCCGTGTCTATCCAGCCTCGTCCGATGAGGCTTTTCGTATCGCCCTAGCTGAGCCTTACGCCTCAGCCCTAGCGCACAATCGTGCCGATCCCACGGATATGGATATCTCGGCATTATCCCATACCAACGACGGCAAGTGCAGTAACTGCGGTCGCAAGGGCCACTTTTGGCGTGAGTGCCGCGCTCCTCGACGCACGCCCACTCCCTCTACACAATACGCGCGATCCGACCCGACTGATCGCCGTCCGAGCAATCGAACATCCTCTTAAGGTGGGCGTCACCCAAGACGATCTACTGGGCCACCTGGTCGATCTGACCACCAGACGCCGGGAAACGATAAGACCCAGTAGGCGCGAGGTGCCCTACTGGGGCACCAATAGGTCTTCCCGAGGTGTGTGGTGTCATATCACACTCGGACGACCTAGCCTCAAACACAGACTTTCATCTGTGCCGCGTCGGGCTTCGCCCCAACAAAATGGTTACTTTGACTCTTACCATGCCGGGTTTTCCCACCCGACTCACTGTGTTGATCGATTGTGGAGCGTCAGCAAGCTACGCCAGCCGCTCCACTCTTGCTCGTTTTGGTTCTCTCCCCGTGTCAGATTCCCCTGACATGGTTCGCGTAAAGTTGGCCGATGGCCGCATCTCCGCCCAGCAGCGTTTAGTAATTACGCTGCCTGTTACCTTCGACGATTTCGACTCGCTCGAAACG